GCTTCTTCGTAGGGTTGTGATGTTTGTAATTTATTCACGCCCAAATGACAAACACAATTGAATTCCAAATTAATTTTTTTTCAGGGATAATAGCATAAAAGTACATTTTATGACTAGTCCTTCAGCCCAGAAGAGACCCTTATGAAAATGCATGAAGCCCTTTTTTGTTCTAAATTGAAGTGTGTGGAGTCAGTATGTGCTGGCTGCTTTCTTGGTTTGTTTTTTTAGTTTATTTTGAGGCAAGTTTAATGGACATAGAAAATGATGTTTGAAATCCTCACTACTGAGGATCCCAGTAATTTCTGGGAATGGATCCTAGACTGAATTAGTCAGATCTACTCTTGGAAGGCATAGGAAACTCAGCAAGGATCAGCCAGTCCCTAGGCCCTCTCCAAAATTGCCACTTAATATGGATGTAAATGAACGTGCTTATCATTTGGATTTTCACTGAGATTGTGCCATCCTGGAGTAGTTCCCATGCAGCAGTCTTTCTCTAAAAATGAAAATTTCTAACCCTGGTTAACCGTTAATTAAAAGGTGGGGGCCTGTAGGAGGATAGCAATTCAGAAACTCCTGGCCTGAATGTAGTGTGCTTTTGAAGAGCAAAAGTGTCGAGGGTTTTGTTGTGCAAAGCTGAAAAGATACTTCTTGCTTCTTGGATCTGTGAAGTTTGGACAGTCTCAATCTGTCAAAACATTCAGTAATTGCTTTATTTTTAAGCATGTATGTGAATAGCCTAGTGCAACTTCCAGATAAATCAAGAGCCAAGTTACTAATCTTTGGATTAGAGCAAAATCTATAGAGCACCAGTAAGAAGTGAAAAGGTTGGTTTTGTTGTGGTTGACATCAGACTAATAGTAAGACTTCAGTTCTTTTACCCTAGGATAAAAAAAAATCTTGTTACTCTGAAGAAACTATCCTGGGATACCGGTGAGTGTGACAGAGAGTACATTTAAGTATGGTTTGTTGTTGTGGGGCAGGGAGGAAGCAAAATGCTGAGTAACCCTCATCCATATACACATCTTTACCAGCCAGCATCTAATTGCGGGCTGCAGTGTACACAAAGCTGGGAACAAATCTGCCTCCCCAAAAACTTTGAAGCTTGAAACTAAAAAAAAAAAATAAAAAAAATTACAGGATTCATTTCTCAGTTATAAATGGCTTTCTATATCCAACATAGTGATTGGTTTATCTTTCATAAACTATGGCTTCCCAGCAATTAAGTAAGCATGGGTTACCTAATTTTCTTTGAAACTGAGGAATTCTGGTATGGAAAACTGATCCAGCCTGGAGGAAGGGACAGTCCTTTTATAGGGATTTAGAAACTTCTGGCATGTTATTTCATCAGCATAAATGAAGTGTGGCAAATTGTTTCAATTAGCAACACCTCTAACATATGAAAGTGGTTTTTTTTGTGGTTTGGGCTGCATCCATCTCTTGTATTAAAGAGTTGCTACGCTGCTGCATACAAGTTAGGCTTTATGCTTCTGGGCAAGATGAATCTTCAAAAACTGAAGAACTGCTTTGTTTCTTGTGTGTGTGTGTGTGTGTGTGTGTGTGTGTATTTTAATATAGATATGTGTATTTATCCTGGTACAATCCTGCTACAGTCACTCATAGCTGCAGAAAGTGCCATGATGCATCCTGTCAAAGATGCTCTAATAGAGCAATACTCCATCAGCACACAGCACTTTTTTAGACATGAGGGCAGAAAAATGGCCTCACTTTGTGAAAGGTATTTTCTTCTAAGAAAACGAAGGGAAAAGTTCTAGCAATGTTCTGTCATCTTTGCAGTAAAACTATTTTATTTTTTTTCTAACTGAAAATTATTTGATTTCAGAAAGTATTATTTAGAAGAAATGAAATGTTCCATGTAAAGTATGTACTCCCATTTTAATTTTTTTAAATTATTTTTTATTTTGTTGTCAGCATAAAGCTGAGCTTTGATATTGCTCACCAAGGAGAATGTTTGTCCTAGATGCATGGGTGCAAATCTGTGCTGTAGGGAATGGTGGTCTGCTGGAGGGATGGAGGAAAGTGCCACATGCCTCTCTACCCATCAGAGGAGAGAAACAGTGAAAGGGAGCGTGGGAGGGACAAAGTTTGCTATATGTGGCTGATTTCAAGGGAGCTGAGCCCTAGTGAGCAAAAGGCATTTACAGGCCTCCTGGGTGTGTATAATTTCTTCTGGAGGCTTTTTGTTCTGAGGCTTTCTTTTTCTTTTCCAAATGTAGGAAATGAGGACAAGCTTGTGAAAGGTGCAAAAAGAGTTTTGGGGTACATCGGGGTCCCTGCAACAACTTTGACCTACCTAGTGTTTTTCCCAGCAAGGGTTAAATGTTGATTTTTACTGCAGTACTTGCACAGCCACAGCCCCTCCACTAAAATAGAAGAAAGCTGTGCTTGGCTGAATTACACCTAATTGCTTG